AACCCCAGATACCAGAGCCTCTGCTTGGGTCGCCAAGAGATGTTGCCGGCCTGCAAACCACCACAAGCACCTTGCCCAGGCCATCCCACACCCCAAGGAAACCCCCACACTGATCTGGGATACTATTGAGGGCAAACCAGCCAGCCCCCACCCATGCACCAGGCCTCTATCCTATCTAATCCTCCTATCTAATAAAAGAATAATATGCAAATTGACCATCACTCCAACACACAAGATGGCTGTCCCATGTGGACACAAGATGGCCACCTCAAGATGGCCAGCAGGGGAGAACAGTTGGGAGGGATCAGGTCTGTAAAGGAGGGCACATAGGTGTGACCAGGCCAGCAGAGGAGGGAAGTTGGGGGTGACAGGGCCTGTAGGTAAGGGCAGTTGGGGGTAACCCAGGCCTGCAGGGGAGGACAGTTAGGGATGACCAGGCCTGCAGGGGAGGGGAGTTAGGGGCAAACAGGCTGGCAGGGGAGCAGTTAGGCATCAATCAGGCTGGCAGGGGAGTGGTTAAGGGGTGATCAGGCTGGCAGGCAGAAGCAGTTAGGGGCAATCAGGAAGGCAGGCAGGTGAGCAATTGGGAGCCAGCAGTCCTGGATTGTGAGAGAGATGTCCGACTGTCTGTTTAGGCCCAATCCTACCTGGATCAGGCCCAAATGGGCTGTCAGATATCCCTCGAGGGGTCCCAGATTGGAGAGGGTGCAGGCTGGGCTGAGGGACACACACACCCCGTGCACAAATTTCATGCACCAGGCCTCTAGTTGTTAATAAGGTGTCAACGTTTACACAGAGTGTTACAATAAAAACAATTGCTTTGTGGTTGTTCCAACACCAAATGCGAACAGACCTCATAAAAGTCGCACGTAGGCTCATTCCCAGCACACCCGGGCAGCGCAAACATCGCCAGGACCACACCGGTGAAGTAGAGCCAACTCATGCTCCCCGAGGGAGGTGAGCAGGCTCCCCCTCCTGCACATCACCACACCGGCCGGAAGTGAGGCCCATAAAGCACTGCCAGCAGGACTCAAAGGAAGGGAAGGCGTGTCTTGTGACAATGAGCAATTAAGCTCTGCTTCTCAGTTCCCCTCTCCCAGCTCCGCACCTGCTAATGAACGTGGAGCAGCATTTGCACATGCTGATCATTGCAATAACCAGCTCACCTGAGTGGACGAAACTGCTCAGAGCTTTTCTGTCTCTGTGACTCCAAACAAGTGGCCAGTGACCTGTCGTCTCCGTAAGGTCTTTAGGAAGGACCGGATGGAGAAATTTGAGATTGCCTGCTTTTTTTTTTTTAAATTTATTTGTTGATTAAGGTGTTACATACATGTTCTTATTCCCCCATTACCTCCCATCTCCCCCACTCATGCCCTCATCCCCCTGTTGTCTGTGTCCATTGGTTAGGCTTATATGCATGCATACAAGTTCTTTGGTTGATCTCTCCCCCTAACCCTCCCCTCCCCTACTTTCCCTCTGAGGTTTGATGATCTGATCAATATTTCTCTGTCTCTGGATCCGTTTTTGTTCATCAGTTTATGTTGAGTGAGATTGCCTGCTTCTATTTTTTTTTTAATATATTTTCATTGATTTCAGAGAGGAAGGGAGAGGGAGAGAGAAACATCAATGATGAGAATCGTTGATTAACTGCCTCCTGCATGCCCCCTACTAGGAATCAAGCCTGCAACGCGGGCATGTGCCCTCAACCAGAATCGAACCCAGGACCCTTCAATGCACAGGTCAACGCTCTATCCACTGAGCCAAATCAGCTAAGGCTCCCTCCTTCTAAGTAACAGCAAACACCAAACACTGCTCTGCTTCCAGTACGTCCCCTTTCTCTATGGGCCAAGCACACACCTGCATTCCCAGGAGACGCGCTGAATAAACAAGGACTCTGCATGTCACTTTGGGGACTTTATTTGGTGTCTGACTTCTACGACACAGGTCCTTAGTAACAGAGGGAGAGCAACAGAGAGGCCGATGTGCCTGGTTAGAGAACACCTTTTCCATTGGTGTTTAGGTTTATTCACATAAAAACCTGGTTCTGAAAGAATCCAGTAAGTTGTATAAATGTTTAAAGCCTTTGGTTCTGGAAAAAAGAAACAAAAGCATTCTTCTGAAGTGCTGATTCATCTCCGCAGCCCAGTCTGCGCCCCTTGCTCATCAAGTCACCTGGGCAAGTGACAAGGTTCTGCATTTGGTTACAGTAAACGCCTTCCCAATCCCCACACACGTGCTTTGTTAACCGGGAGTGATTGGCGCTTGCTCAGCAGCTTGCTCCCCATGGAGGTTGGCTGGTGGGTGGAGTTCAGGCTCTGGGGGAGGAAGGCAACTGGCTCTGGGGGGTCCCCATGACAAACTCCCCCAAACTTGGCCTGCACCTGCCTGTCTGCCCCTGGCCTGTAGTTGAGGATAGCCTGCACTCCACAACTCATTAGAGGTTCAACTTAAGAAAGGAAACAAGGTTAGGCCATTTAGGTCAAGAACAAGTCACACATCCCTACGCTAAGCATTGGGGAGACACAACTCCCCTTGGTGTCCTTGGCCCAGAGTCAGCTAGCCCCTCATCCCATGGCTTCGGATGGAAGAAGAGGAAATTTTTCGGTGTCACTGGCCTTTGGCTGTCTCCCACTGTTTCGTGATCCCTTTTGAAGCTCTTTATTTCAGCCAAAAGGGCATCCTGGATTATCTACATCCCAGCGATGACTAATGCTCTGTGTGCAGGCCACTTGGGAATAAAAGGGGAATCGTGTGAAGCAATCCTAGAATTTACAGTCCAGGAAAATCCAGCTTCACTTGCATTTGTTCCATGGAAACCCAATAATAACACTAATATTTGGCTCTGTTGCTCAATACTTACGTGCGGTGGATGAGACAATAAATGTCATTCTATTATGAGAAGGAACGCTGAATTCTCTACTACAGATGGTGTATTTCCACACTGAGGTGGCTGATATTATTTTGGAGGGCCATTACAGAAACACATTTTCCATAGTTTGGCATCATGATCTGACAAACTTTTTAAACACATCAACTAGAAGTTTTCATGGAAACCCACTTTTAACTAGGTCTTTATGCGAGATGAACGTTTTTATTAGGGCTAAGAAATGATGGGTTCTGATCGGGAGTACTCTGGCACATCTGAAAGACGAATGGGGACTCTAAGGTTAGAAGAACATCTTCAAAAAGGCTCAGCAAGCAAGGGTAGAGGGCGAGGAGGACAATGACAGGGACACATGATGGCATCCAACACAGCAAACACTTCCCTCCCAAGAACCAACCCCCCTTCCTCATTTAGAGAATGTAAATATTGTTCACGCCTTGCTAAACACTGTCCTTCCCAGACTCCCGTGCGGTGGGGCCACGTGACAGAATCCTAGCCAGTGGATGAAAGCTGGGCATCTCTGGGAGGGCTTTGCTTTTTTGATATTAACATTGCACCTGGTACTGGCCTCTTCCTGCTTAAGAAGCAGGCGTGGTACCTGGCAGTACAGTCACCATCTTGTGACTAGGAGGCAATAAACCAAAGGACAAAGGATGTTAGAAAACACACCAAAGCGTGTAGACCCTGGATAATATGACAAGAGTCCTGAGCATCCAATCCCAGGTTTCCTATTCAGCTCGTCGCTGTTCGTTGGGTTTCCTATGATTTGCAGCCAAATGCACACCTGGTGCACCAATAGCCCATGATGAGATTGAGAAGGATGAGGGTGACTCAGTGAGAGGGAAGAACGAAGTTAAAGAGTAAGAGCAAGCAGGGTCGCTCGTACTCACACTGATCACAGAGGACCTAAAGCACACAGCTCCCTTCCCGCTCCCAGCGGGGACAGAGTCCTGCCTGAGGGAATCATTGCCTCATTACAGAGATGCCCAGCGCTCAAATTGGCTGTCTGGGCTCTAACTCTGTCCTTCTGCGCCGTGATTGCTGGTATGAGAGAGCATGCTTAGACATTAAAGCCGGGCGGTTTGCATCCTACAGAGAAGAGAATGGAACACATTTAGAATCAATTTAGCATTTCTCTTGCAATCCATTTGGAGGAGCTCCCACTGAGAAGTCATATGCCTCACCCTCTCTGCAGCCGTATTTAATAAGATCGGAGAAGAAAAACAGTCACACGGGATAGCCCGCTCTGACATTGTCTAGGCTGTTTGGAAATTAAAGCACACATAGCCACGCTGGCAGCATAGAGGATGTGTCCCCTAGACACTGCCGGACTGATCAATACTTAAGAATGCGCAGGCAGCAGCAATAAATAAATAAAGCAGATGCAATGGGGATGCCAATCAGTGACCGGGTGAGTACATTCTCACAATCAGGACGAACCCCTTTGCCTGGAAGGGAGTACAGTGCAGCACTGAATGTTCCCATGGTCCATCAGGCTGGCCCAGGGTGCTGGTCTTGCATAGAAAAACGATTTCTTCACACTCATCCTCACAGGCGGTCCTGATGTGGGTTCAGAGACGGATGGCTAAGCAAACCAGACTGAGAACAGGCGCAAGAAATGGGGTATTCGTGCGTGACCCCATGCTCGCAGCTTTCACTATGTTCAAATTGAAACTCTTTTACCTTTTCCAACAAAGTAAGTGCAAATATATTTAGTCCAATTCAGTGACATAGCAGCAATACTTCAGGAACCAATGAATGAGGACACTGGCACCCCAATGTCCTTCTGCCTTTTGGACTCAAAGCTTCGGAAACACCCGCCTTGAACAGAAGGGCAAACGTCTTGATTCGGCGTTTGTGTTCCATCATCCCCACCCACCCACATGCCCCCAGAGCAGTTAGTAAATTCATTAACAAACACGATTTGAAACTCATAAGGAGTCAAAGCTATAAAATGCCTACTCATGGATGCAGTTTTTTAACAAAGGTTTCCTCCTTCTTCCCTTCCTTTCAAACAAAGCGTCTGCATCATTCATTAGGATAATAACATATCACTTGTTTACTTCTTTTAAAACGACACAGTTGTGTTTTTCTCAAAATAACTGCCATCTTGTTTCTAATTAAACATGATGGATTCAGGGTCCTGGTTCGCCATCTGGGCCATATGTCTCAGAACATCCTTCTTTGTGATGATGCCAAGAAGTCTCCTGGAAAAGAAACAAAATAGAGAAAAGAGATCAACTTTGCAATACTGACCCATGCCTTTCCCTGAACACCAGTGCCTTTATTACGTAGGCCAGGGGTCGGCAAACTGTGGCTTGTGAGCCACATGCGACTCTTTGGCCCCTTGAAAAGTGTGGCTCTTCCACAAAATACCACATGTGGGCGCACACATACAATGAGATTAAAACTTCGTAGCCCACGCGCAGAAGCCGGTTTTCGGCTCTCAAAAGAAATTTTAATCGTTGTACCGTTGATATTTGGCTCTGTTGACTAAGGAGTTTGCCCATCACGGCCCTAGACTATGCAGTACACACTTGGACAACCATTCACAACAGTCCCTGCCTCACTCTTCATTTTATTAAATATTTGCGTGGCCACCTGCTGGAACAAGGCACGCCCTCTCGGTACAGCAGACAGCTTGAAAGAAGGGGATGTACACAACTTCTTTGGAGAAAGGAAGTCCCATTGCCTAATTTGTTTGCCAAATGCTGCTCCCTGTCTCTCCATCACACCCAGGAAGTGAACTGTGGCGGGACCCTGGGACACTGGCTAGCTATTAAAACAACAGGCTTCTGTGCATCTGTGTAAAAGATGAATACACAAAAAAATCAGAAAGCACAATTGTAATAAGCTGTCATTTATCTAAGTAAAGCCAAATTAGTCAAACTCTGCTACTAATAGAAAGTTAATATTCGAAGGGAATTCGGTATTCCGAGCAGTGTCCATGTCAGTGACAGCTGGTGAGAGGCACACTGGTTGGTGAAACTGGCAAGCCAGAATCCTGACTCATTGGCCCTATCACACTGGACCTTAGAAAAGTGACGGATTTATTATGTCAGTTTTCCTTCTATCACACTGGGGGAGACAGCAGATACTGACTCTGTCCCTCCCTCTCAGAGGAGCATCTTCAGGAGAGAGGAAAACAGCAAAAAGGGCCTTTGCAAGCATGCTAAGCAAAAATAATAATGAGTGCATGGATGACAAAACACTGAAAAACAGCATCACGATTATCCTGATCACCAAAAATGCAGAGCAATGTAGAAAGCAGAATAGATTAGAAAACCAGTATTTTGCACCCCCAATGTAATAATAATGAGTTTAGCCAATAATTATCAATGAATTCCAAACCCGCTGGGTAAGTGGTTACTAGAAACCAGAAAATTCACATGGTCTCCAAGGACCTGGCCACCGATGACGCACAAAGAGAAAAATGTCCCTTTCCACGCGGGGTGCCGGCTATCAGCGCCCCATCCGAGTGAGGGAGCTTATCACCAATCAAGTCAGAGAGGCTGACATCATGACATCATCTACTTTGAAATGTTGCCAAAAACCACTTAACCCAAACCCACCCATGAGGAAGCAATCACACAGATTCAAAATGTGAGACTACTGGTCTGGACTCTTAAAAAAAAAAAAATACGTGTCACAAACAACAAACAAAAAAGAGGCAGGAAGTACTGTAAACAAACATCCCCAATAGAACATCATTCAGGCTAAGAAGACTGAGCTATTGAGCCGGGTAAAGACATGGAGGAACCTTCCAGGCCTAAGAGAAAGAAGCCGACCTGAGAGGCTGTGTGGTTCCAATGTCATGATGTTCTGGAGAAGACAAAACCAGGGAGCCTGAAGGACACATATGTAATGCCTTCATCAGTAAAGAAAAAAAGACACAGGAAAAGAAAAAAACAAGGAGACAGTAAGAGATAGCGGCTGCCGGGGGAAGTGGGGAGGCGGGAGTGTGTAGGGCAGTAAGCCACTCTGTGTGATTCCATGATGGCATGTACATGTCATTCTCATTTGTCACCCCACAATATACAACACCAGGAGTGAAGCCTACTGCAGACTAGGAACCTTAGTTAATAATACGGGATCCAGCCGAACCCGGTTTGGCTCAGTGGTAGAGCATCGGTCTGCGGACTGAGGGGTCCCAGGATTGGTTCTGGTCAAGGGCATGGACCTTGGTTGCGGGCACATCCCCGGTGGGGGGTGTGCATGGGGCAGCTGGTCGATGTTTCTCTCACATCGACGTTTCTGGCTCTCTATCTCTCTCCCTTCCTCTCTGTAAAAAAGCAATAAAATATATTTTTAAAAATAATAATAATAATAATAAATAATAATAATACGGGATCCATATATCAATGGCAGCAAAGAGAACCCACCAATGAAGATGTTAACAAGAAGGGAACTGGAGGAACGAGAGAGGCAATATGGGAACTCTATACTTCCTGTTCAACGTTTCTGTAAACCTAAAACCTAAACCTATCTAAAAAATAAAGCCTATTAATTAAAGAAACAAAACCCTTGGAGAGGGCGGGGTTGCCTGAGAGGAGGGGTTAGTGAAGAAGGATAAAGTCAGGAATTGTTGTGGGGTTTCTTGTTGTTGTTTTTTAAAATATATCTTTAAGGATTTCAGAGAGGAAGAGAGATGGAGAGAGAGAGAGAGAGAGAGAGAGAGAGAGAGAGAGAGAGAGAGAGAGAGAGAGAGAGAGAGAGAAACATCAATGATGAGAGAAAATCATGGATTGGCTGTTTCCTGCACGCCCCATACTGGAGATTGAACCTATAATCCAGGCATATGCTCCAACCAGGAATTGAACCTTGACCTCCTGGTTCGTAGGTCAACACTCAACCACTAAGCCACGCCGGCCGGGCAATGCTGTTTTTCATTCTAGCTGTTTAGAGCTACTTGCCTTTCAGCATGTCCATATGGTACTTTAAATGCATTTCTGAAATTTATCAAAATGCAGTCCAATGGACGGTGCCCCAGAACGCGAAATGCTGTTATACTGACTCTGCCCAGCTGAGTCTGAGTCCCGGAAGGCCACCCAGTGGACTTGGGGCAGCTGACACCATCCCCGGGCTGGCGTGTCCCTCCTGGGTCCCGTGAGCAGAAGATGCCACCCGGTCACTGCCCCTGAGGTGCCTGGACGCCGGCTCAGGGCACACAGACCTCCCTGGTCCCCGGCTGCTTTCCCGAAGGCCTGGGAGCTGGGCCTGGGTGATCCCGCGGCTGTGGCTGGTCAGGGGGTGAGCTGGGCTCTGAGTCCCAGCGGGAGGCACATGGGGCAGAATAATCACAAGCTCTAGCTGGCTGGAGCCGGCCTGCCCTGGCCAGAGCCGCACATGAAAGCCCGGCACACCAGCCCCCTTGCCAGCACGAACATATGAGCATCTGTGTTTGTTTAAAATATGTAGAGCGGGGGGAAGGGGGTGCGATCTTGTCTTCCTGCAGAACATTCGGAGCCAATTTCAGCGCCCAGATCTTCACAGGGACCTCGGGGGCTCGTGAGGTGCGAGGGGCACACGGGGCAGGATTCCCACGGCGCAGAGATTCCGAGGATGACTGCGTTGGCTTATTGTTTTACAGGGAAAGGGAAACTGCTATCCACTTGAGCCAACACAAGAGCCCACAGTAATATTTACACCGAGCGCTGGAAGCTCAAGTGTATCAATGGGCTGCAGTGTCTTGCAAAGTGGGTCCCGCAACCAGCGGCAGCCCTTCGGGGTTCGTTAGAACTAGAGGCTCTTGCCACCACCCCCCCACCCAGGCCTGCGGGGCCTAGGCTTCAGCTGGAGGCTCAATCCTCGGGGATTCGGAGACACTCAGATTTGGAGACCACCGAGTTCCTTACAAAGTCACAGCCAAGCCCTAGCTGGCTTGGCTCAGTGGATAGAGGTCAGCCTGCGAACGCAAGGGTCCCAGGTTCGATTCCGGTCAAGGGCATGACCCATGGTTGCAACCCCACCAGCCAGTGTGGGCACTGACCCATGAACCAAGACGTCACAGTTCAATTTCCGGTCAGGGCACGTGCCTGGGTTAACAGGCTCCATACCCGGTGGGGGGCGTGCAGAAGGAAGCCAATCCATGATTCTCTCTCATCATTGATGTTTCTATGTCTCTCTCTCCCTCCCTTCCTCTCTGAAATCAACAAAAATATATTTTTTTTAAAAAGAGCCGAAACCGGTTTGGCTCAGTGGTAGAGCGTCGGTCTGCGGACTGAGGGGTCCCAGGATTGGTTCTGGTCAAGGGCATGGACCTTGGTTGCGGGCACATCCCCGGTGGGGGGTGTGCATGGGGCAGCTGGTCGATGTTTCTCTCACATCGACGTTTCTGGCTCTCCATCTCTCTCCCTTCCTCTCTGTGAAAAATCAATAAAATATTTTTTTAAGTAGTGCCACGCCGCCTTCTTAGGCTCCTCCCCTTTGTGGCTCAGCTTGCAGCCTCAGCCAGACAGCAGCCCCACCTGAAGCGTTTCCCACATTGGGCTGCTCGGCATTCTCGCCAGGACCTCTGCCATCCCCTCTGCTGCTCCCTGAGTGCTCTGAGGACGGAGAGCACGTCCCCTTCCCCTTGCTCTCCCCGGTCCGGCACAGCCCGGCCACTCACCCGCTGCGCGTCACCAGGCACTGGCGCAGCCCCAGCTTCCGGAAGATGTCCACCACCGTCTCCATGGGCGTGTGGTCCGTGACCGTGAACGGGCTGAGGTTCAGGACGCGGCGCAGCTTCAGGGGCTGCGGGCTGTTGGCCGGCAGCTCGGGGGGGTCCTCCGTGAAGTACATGATGGAGTTGCTCACGATGCCCTCCTGCCTCTGCCTGGCATTCTCTGCAATGGACGGGCGGGAGCAGAACTCACATCCAGATCCCTCGCTTAGCAGCTGCCCCCACCGCAGACCTGCAGGCACACATCCTCCCTCCGCCCACACCCCAGGATCCCCAGAAAAGGGCTCAGAGGGCACACTCCACATTCTTAATGAGGGGCTCCGGCCAACCATCTGTGAAACCGCTCCTGCTGTGACCGCCTGGTCACTGCCAAGGTCTTGGAAGACGGGCACCCAGAAGGCCCAGCGCCGTCCCCTCCGCCCTCCACCCTCACCTTCCTAACACTTCTTCACCTCGTCATAGGGGAAGTTTGACATAACAAAAAACCACACTTGCCCAGCTGGTGTGGCTCAGTGGTTGAGCATCGACCTATGAACCAGGAGGTCAAGGGTTCGATTCCTGGTCAGGGCACATGCCCGGGTGGCAGGTTCCATCCCTAGTAGGGGGCTTGCAGGAGGCAGCCAATCCATGATTCTCTCTCCTCACCCTTGTTCCTCTCTCTCTTTCCTTCCCCCTTCCTCTCTGAAATCAATACAAGTATATTTTTAAAAAGGAAAAAGAAACCACGCTTAGCTGCCCGTGACCTTTATACAATGGTTTTTTTTACAAACATATAGTTGGCTCAAATGCCGTTGTGAGTCCTGAAAGGAACGGAAATTTAATAGGACCATCCCAGGCTCACGGCCCGGAAATCTAGCTCAATCCCAAATGCGACCCTCGGGACCAAGGAAATCCCCTTGGGAAGGCCGCATCACCCACCCCTGCATCTCCTCTTAGAAATGGGCCATTCTGAAGGTATCGCAAAGGGAGACAGCAAAACCGGCATGGTAACCATTACCTATTTCTATCTCTAGGCCAGGCCGTGCGGCAGGGCTGGAGCAGGGGACAGGAACTCATTGGAGTACAGCTTTGTGCCGCCCGAGAAGCCCGGGCTATTTTAAGTCGCACGTGAATCAAACCCATCAATCTCAACATATTTCTCCAAGGCCGTGTGCCTTCTGTCGGAATTTTCATTCTTCCTCTTGGTTCATGGGAAAGGGTTAGGGGAAATGCACTCCCAGTCTCTGTAATACAGTCCTCCTTTCTCAAAGATTATAATTCACCGATATTGTTTCTGAGTGAAAGCTCACGCCGCCTGCTCAGAGCGGTCTCCTGCAGCAGCGCGCTCTGATGGAGCTGGCGGCATCAGGCTATTCGGAAAGGGTCTCTGTGTGAAAGGAACACAGGGCCCGCCGGGCAGATGCGTGTTCGTTATTTGGGTCAGGTTAAATCTAGTTGCATCAAATGGGACATGCTGCAACCACAGATGCAGGGTGACACTGAGGCACAGGTTTTCAAATGGAGACGCTGTGCACCGCGCACTGCACAATTGTCCCCTAGGCCAAGGCGGTTCTGTCCCGCAGCTCTGAGGTGGAGGCACGGCCAACACATACTTATTTGTTCACATTCATGTACCACGTGATTTTCTAGAAATCCCACGCGGCAGGAATCCCATCTCTTTTAATAACCAATTTGAACATTGGGAATGGATCAAGCCACACACCTCAATCAAGAACCGATCGCATGACCCGACTGGTGTGGCTCAGTTGACCTATGAACCAAGAGGTCAAGGTTTAATTCCCGGTCAGGGCATATACCTGGGTTGCAGGCTCGATCCCCAGTGTGGGGTGTGCAGGAGGCAGCCGATCCATGGTTCTCTCTGATCATTGCTGTTTCTCTCTCTCTCCCTCTCCCTTCCACTCTGAAATCAATAAAAATATTTTTTTAAAAAGGACCTTGCAATCCCCTGGCTTAAAGTCTTCTGACTGTGTGGGCTCGTGCTACCCCTGGGAGAATGTGGGGGTGCGAAGGCTGCCATTCACCTCAGTAGCCCAGGAGCTCCCCGTCTACTCACTTATGGCAAGAATCAGCTCCCTCCTCTGGGCGAACCCGATGAGGCGCTCGGAGTCCCGGGACACCACCACGGGGAAGCCGTTGTAGTCGGTCTCCTTGATGAGTGTCTCCACATCCTCCACTGTCATGCTGTCCTGCGTGAGCACGGCCAGCGGCGGCTCCCCCCGCCGCGGCCGCATCACGTCGGTGGCCAGCGTGCGGTGCGTGAACTCATCCTTCACGTCCAGGAACGGGTACCCATTGAGGTGGATGTGGGCCTCGTAGATGCCTTCCTTCCCGAAGGCGTCGGCCACCCACTTGCTGGTCACGGCTGCCGCCATGAGGGGGACAATGTACTCCAGACCTCCCGTCAACTCAAACATGATGACCACCAAGGACACCGTCATCCGGGTCACTCCACCTGCGAGTCGAGAGAGGAGGGGAATTCCCGACTCAACCCCGAGCCCCGGGAGGGCGTGGGTCATGGAAACTGACAAGCAGCTGGAACACCTCTTGACAGGAGAGTAGCTAAGGAGCCAGGCCTACACGCCGCCCTGCTCAGACCTCCGGGGCTGAGGCCACGCTCTGTCACCTGCATCAGGGAGCCAGGAGCCAACCTGCCTGGGGGCTCTTCTGCACGGAGGGACACCTCGGATGTCTATTCACCTAGGACCGTGGTCGGCAAACCGCGGCTCACGAGCCACATGCGGCTCTTTGGTCCCCTGAGTGTGGCTATTTCACAAAATACCACGCCCTAGGTGAGTCTATGATGAAGAAGTGGCATTAGAAGAAGTTTAAGTTTAAAAAATGTGGCTCTCCAAAGAAATTTCAGTCGTTGTACTGTTGATATCTGGCTCTGTTGACTGGAGTTTGCCGACCACTGGGCTAGGCCCACACGCCTTGCTTCCTGGTGAGTGGATCCTATGCGGCCTATGGTTTCTCACTCAGAAAGCGGGGCTCCCTTCCAGAACCCCATAAGCTGGAAACTGGAGAGACTCTTGGGGGCTAGAGACAGGAGAGGACCCCCCTGTGTCCCTTGGCATTGAACCGGAGAAAGCAGACCAACTCCTAATCTTCCAGTGAACTTGAGCGGGGTTCCGTGACCTCAGCACTAGACATGTGACCTGTGCACTGTGGGATGTTTAGCAGCATCAACGGCCACCACCCAGGAGGTGCTGCTAGCACTGCCACCCCCAGGGGTGGCAGCCAACATGTCTCCTCTCTTGTCCACTGGCCCTGAGAGGCACAACCGCCCCCAGTTCAAAACCGCTGTCCTAGCTGGCTCAGCTGCGAGATGGTAGAGACTCCATCAGCCTGGGTCCCTGAATGACCAAGTGGAGAGAACCTTCCGCTAACTCCATACACACACACACACACACACACACACACACACACACACACATACACATACACACATACACACGCATACATACACACACACACACACACACACACACACACACACACACACAAGCCAATTCTCATTATGCACAGTAGCTATGATCTACAAAATCACCACAAACGCCGAATTAACAAATTCGTAACCACCGCCCTCGGGGAGACCTAGATTAGGTCTCTGTGAGCCTATGGTCACAACATTTTTATCAAAATCCATTTTGTGTGCTTCTGTCAGAGACACCTTATTTAACAGATGTAGCTGACAGTCACGTGGAACTCAGCCCGACGGGAGCTTCTGAAGGTGGATTTTCTCCCTGAGGCACATCCCAGGCTCCTCGCCTGAGGAACTTCAGACAGCACCTCAGCACTACGCCTGAAGGCCATTTTAATCTGCAAAATCATCCGCAAAAATGCAAATCACATGGCACCAGGTAGACCACGAGAAGGACATCTGTGTCCCGTGTGAGAGCCGAACCAAGAAGGCAGACCTTCACCTCGGGCAGTTCAGCTGGGAAGACACACATGTGTCAGATCACTCCAGTGCTCCACCTCTGAGTGTCTGAGAGGGACCGCAAAGGCCTACAAGTATTTTGAGGTTACAAACACACTTTAGAAGCAGCCAAATGCCCAATTATGGAACCCATGAATTATGAGAATGGACCACCATCACGAACAAGACATCAGTCTTGGTATGGTAAGGCAGTGAGGTTCAGGGGATTACTCATCACAGCAGCACACCCTCTCCCATACTCAGCACAGTAGCTCACCTCTCCTATAGTCATCACAGCAGCTCACCTCTCCTATGCTGAGCATGCCAGTCTCCTGGCTTCCTCTGGCCAGCCCTCTAGCCCAGTTGGCCCTTGTGCTCCGTCTGTCTTACTTTCCTTGCACCTCCCGCCTCACCTCCCCTGCCTTCCCCCTCTCCCCCCGCCTCTGGCTGTACCTAGGCAGGCTGCTGCTCCCACCATTGCGTAGAGTCCCGGGGTGACACAGTCTGCCCCAGGCCTGCACCAGTTCCTGAAGATGATCCAGTCGTGGTGATGGTATGCCAGCTGCTCCACGCCGATGCCCACCATCCTGCCCGCCATGGCCCCCACAGCCATGCTGGGGATGAAGAGGCCCGATGGGATCTGCAGGGAGCACACATGGGGAAGAGCCTTGAGGGGAGGAGTCCGAGTCCCCGAATCCCGCCTCCGGCCCCAGCACACACTGACCCCTCCACAAGCTTGCATTTCGCTTCAGTCTTCAAAGGAGCTGCAACCTTGCCCTAGCTGGTGTGGCTCAGTGGATAGTGTCAGCCTGTGGACCGAAGGGTCCTGCGTTTGATTCCGGTCAAGGGCACGTAGTACTTTGCAGGCTCCTCCCCGGCCCGGGCCCTGACCAGGGTTCGTGCAGGAGGCAACCAATCAATGTGTTTCTCTCACATCGATGTTTCTCTCTCTTTCCCTCTCTCTTCCACCCTCCCTGAGAATCAATGGGGAAATACCATCGGGTGAGAAGTAACAGAAATAAAGAAATAAATGATTTTTAAAAGGAGTTTCTAATTCTACTTTCTCCCTTCCTCTCTGTAAAATATCAATAAAATATATATTTTTTAAAAATAATAATAAAGTAAAATAAAATAAAAGTAAATGTCAGGCCGCAGCAGGAAACTGGAAAAGAAGGGCCTGCGATGGGTCGCGGGGAGGAGGAGGAGGAAGCCAGGGCAGCGGCCAGCCATCTGCATCTTCCAGAGGCTTCCACAGCCACCGCCCTCAAGGCCCACAGCGCCCTCCACTCTCGTGTCCCTTTCACGAAAAGCGATCAGAACAGTCTTATCCCGGGATAGTGGCCCAGCAGCAGACCCCGCGGATGGGGAGGTCTGGGCACCAGCGTGCCTTCTGCTTGGTGTGAAAAGATGTTAGATCCGGCTCATGGCCAGGCTGCTGCTGAGCCGCCTGGCTCTCGGGGGGAGTGGGGGGGTCTGTATGGGGCTGCCATCCTGAGTGGGAGCATGTAGGCCCAGCCCGGCCTGTTACCGACCTCAGGACAGAGGGGCCCCTGAAGCAGGCTCCAGGAGAAGGTCAGATCCTTGAGTGTGATGGCGGGAGCCTGGGACATTCCCGGGGAAACTGTTTCTTTCTGAGCTGCCCATCCCACTGCCACCTGACCCCCTGGAATGGCCAAGTCCCCTCTCCCAGCAGCACCAGAGGCGCCAGGCCTTCCTCAGACACGAAGCTCAGGCCCTTCACTGGCGCGGATGGAGCAGACAGACAGTCATGTTTAATCCAGTCCCCCATCCTGTTCTCAGGACAAAAATTCAGGCTTGTGCTTGACCATCACACACCCAAGTGTAAACTCTCTACATGGTTTCTTCGACTTAAAAAACATAAATCATAAAAATCACACACAGACCGAGTAGGCATGGCTCAGTGGTTGAGCTTTGACCTATGAACCAGGAGATCATGGTTTGATTCCTAGTCAGGGAACAGGCTCAGGTTATGGGCTCGATCCCCAGTGTGGGGTGTGCAGGAGGCAGCTGATCCATGATTCTCTCTCATCATTGATGTTCCTATCGCTTTCTCCCTCTCCCTTCCTCTCTGAAATCAATAAAAATATATTTTTTAAAAATCGCACATGGAAGTAATTGTAATTGAGAGCAGCGGGTGTTCTGGCGGACTCTCAACATTCTGCTTGCTGGTTACACAAGTGTGTGTGTTTCATGAAAGTTCGCCAAGCTTTGTATGTCTCTGTATGAATGACATACTCTGAGCCATGGCTTCTTCCACTCTAAAACGGGGTTAAAGCTATGGCAGAGGCTTGCTGTTACCCACGCATAGCTTCTTGGTGGTTAACGGAATGTCAAGGGCCCAGCACAAGACAACATTCAATACGGTCCACCCCTTCTTCCCAGCACGATTCCATGGTGGCCAGCAGGCACCACCCAGAAGGCCACGGGTGGCCACATTCTCCTTCCCCTTCACTCACCTTCATGCCGAAGGTGAATATGGTAATGACGATTTTGAAGACCAGCGCCAGGGCCAGCTGCCACATGGCCGTGTACACCCCGCGGCCGGCTGGCCGGTCAGGAATGTCATCCACGGGCCGGGTCATGTTGGGGTCGTTGATGTAGTCGCAGAGCTGGGAGGACTCGAGGGCCCCGCAGTCATTGAACAGCTCGGAGATGAGCTCGCTCGTGCTCTGGCGCGTGTAGGGGTTGGGGTAGGCGACGATGGCGGTGATGGCCGTCACCGCGATGACCTCCAGCACCGGATACTTGCCCAGCCTGGTAGTCTTGCGCCTCCTGCACCAGGCGATGTTGCAGCGGATGAAGAGGGTCCCCCACAGGCCCCCGAAGACGCCCAGAAGGATGAAGGGGAAGAGCTCGGCCATGTACCAGGGCGTGTGGTACTCCACGTAGAAGAGGACGAGGCGGCTGTTCCCAAAGGGGTTGATGGAGCGCAGCGTGAAGGCCGCCACCAGCGCCGCAAAGAAGGACCGCCACAGGGTCTTCAGGGGAAAGTAGTAGCTGACCTGGACCGACAGGAGAGCGTGAGCGACGGGCCCAGGACGGCGGCATTCACACCCGCACCTGGGTGTCCTTATGACCCTAAGGCGCCCGCAAGGACACATAGACTCTCCCTGCGTCTGACAGCAGAATGGAGACTAGTCGAGGTGCTTTTGAGTTATTTTTTTTAAGAGGAATGAAAGCATTTAATCATAATTCTGTTTATGGCATGGAGACATACAGCCCCCCCCCCCCAAAAAAAAGCAAAGAAACCTCTGAATTTGCTTCTGCAGACAACAGATAGATCAAGGGTTGGAAATCCCTGGCCCAGCTAATGTATCTATCTGTATGGCACAGGAGTTAAGAATGAATTGTTTATTTTTAAATGGTTAAGAATGCCCTAGTCGTGGTTGGAAAACTGGCTTGCGAGCCACACGGCTCTTTGGCCCCTTGAGTGTGGCTCTTCCACAAAATACCACGGCCTGGGCGAGTCTATTCTGAAGAAGTGGCGTTAGAAGAAGTTGAAGTTTAAAAAATTTACTCTCCAAAGAAATGTCAATCGTTGTCCTGTTGCTATTTGGCTGTGTTGACTAATGAGTTTGCCGACCACTGGGCTAGCTGGTTTGGCTAAGTGGATACAGCGTTGGCCTACAGACGGTAGGGTCCTGGGTGTGATTACGGTCAAGGGCACATGCCCAGGTTGTGGAATTGATCCCTAGTAGGGAGCGTGCAGAAAGCAGCTGACAAAAGATTCTCTCCCATCATGGATGTTTCTATCTCCCTCTCCCTTCCTCTCTGAAATCAATTTAAAAAATTTTAATAAATAAATGGTTAGGAAGGACTATTTTGTGACATGTGAAATATTCAAAAGAACCCTGCTTCGGTGACACAAGAAAATTATATAAAACTCCAGCTTCAGCTCCTAAGGCGAATGGTATCAGGGTACAGCCATGCGCAACCATGGGCGGTTGTCTGTGGCTTTCCTGCGCCATGCAGGGCTGAGCGGCTGGGACCCAGCTGGGAGACCCACCAAGCATTAAATAGTGACTTTCTGGCCCTTTATAGACAACGTTTGCTGACCCGTGGAATAGATCTACCCACGTTGCCAAAACCAAAAATGCTTCATTCATTTGGTCATGAGGAAGGGAGGACACTGCAAATTTTCCAGAACATTTATATTGGCATTTTCTGAGTAGACCAACCGCGGTTCCTGGATGAGCTGCAAGAATTCTTCCCAGGCTCCTCAGAAGGCTTAGGCAGGGGCCTGCTGCTGAGCTCCCCACTGCCGCAGCCCGCAGCCCGCAGCCCGCAGCTGCACATCCCCCGCGCCCAGCTCACCTCCTCCAGGCTGAAAAGCACGCCACCAATCGGAGCACCGAACGCAACAGAGACTCCGGCAGCAGCTGCCGCTGAAAGTACCTGCAAGGCAAAGCCCAAGGCCTTTCATGAAAACAAGCCTGTGCAGGGGGGTGCCAGCATGGCTCAATGGTTACATGTCAACCTGTGAACCAAGAGGTCAGGGTCCGATTCCCGGTCAGGGCACATGCCTGGGTTGCAGGTTCGATCCCCAGTGTGGGACGTGCAGGAGGCAGCTGATCCATTATTCTCTCTTATAATTGATGTTTCTCTCTCTTTCCCTCTCCCTTCCTCTCTGAAACCAATAAAAACATTTAAAAGAAGAAGAGGAGGAGGAGAAGAAGAGGAGGAAAAGAAGAAGGAGAAGGAGGAGGAGGAGAAGGAGAAGAAGAAGAAGAACAATAACAACAACAACAACAAGAAGCACATGCAGAGGAGACAGGAGGGGCCCCGTCCAGAAGATGGCAGCTGAGCCCGCTCACCTCGCGCCTCTTGCCCTCGTTCTTGCTGTACTTGGAGAAGAGGCTGCTGAAGAAGTTACCACAGCAACAAGCCACATGCACCAGTGGCCCCTCCTTCCCGAGGCTCAGGCCTGAGGACACCACCAGCACCAGCGTGACGGTCTTGATCAGCAGCGTCCACTTGCCCAAGTAGCCCCTGATGATGAAGCCGCTCAGAATGGTCTTGATCTGGAACACAGGACGGAAAGCAGGGCGGCTGAGGCGCTGTTCACGCCCGCTCCCTGCTTCGCCTGCGGGAGGCTGCTTCCGGGTCTGAGTCCCTCTAAGTTCACACGAACAGCATTTACATTAACAAGTAATTTCACCAGAAGAGAGAAGCCTAAGAGCTTATGTACTTATAGACACAGACAATAGGGTAGTGAAGACCCGGAGGAGGGGCAAGAGGGAATGGGAGATATCTGTAATACTATCAACAATAAGAAATACATTATTTTTTTAAAATGTTGAAAAAATAAAAAGACATAACTTTATATTATATTCATGGAAATGTGAAGCAGTGCGATTCATAGTAAATTTTAATTATTCTTAGAGTAGCAAGATTATAATGAGGGCTGAATAAGTAATTATCAGGTTCCATTTTATTTGTGGCACTTTATCCTGTTCACATTACCCTCTGTTGTGTTGAAAAGAGACATATAGCTATTGATTTTAGCTGTTAATTTTGCACAATTGAAAGACCTTGCCCTGGCCAGTGTGGCTCGGTGGATAGAGCATCAGCCTATGAACCAAAGAGTCCCGGGTTCCATTCTGGTCAAAACCACATACCTTCATTGCAGGCTTCTCCCCAGCCCAGGCCCTGGTCAGGGCTCGAGCAGGAGGCAACCAGTGGATGTGTTTCTCTCACACCAATGCTTCTCTCTGTCTCTCCCTATCTCTTTCACTCTCCCTACAAATCAATGGAAAAATATCCTTGGGTGAGGATTTACAAATAATAATCTACCTAATAAAAGAAGAACATGCTAATTGACCATACCTTCGCAACACCCACCAGCCAATCAGGGGTGAGTATGCAAATCAACCCAACAAAGATGGTGGGTTAATTTGCATACACAGATGCAGGCATTCCACACCATCCCAGCCACGCTGGGCCTCTGGGCAGCATGGGAAGGCGGAAAGGCAGCTCCAGGCCCAAGCAGAAAGGTGGCTCTGGCCAGAGTGAAGGCAGAGCTGGCAGCCAGGGGAAGGAAGGCCTGTTCTTACATGAATCTTTGTGCATCGGACATCTAGTAATAATAATAATAATAATAATAATAATAATAAATGCAGCCCCAGTAGAGAACCAGCCACTGCTCCATTCCTGGCAAGAGTAGGATGGGAATTCCTGATTCCCAGTAATTAAGGGATCTTCTGGAAACCTCTTTAGCATCATGTCACCTTTTCCCATGTGGGGAGGGTCATGCAGTGAACCAACCCTTGGAATTTTAAAGGGGTGTGAATGGACCATTTCCATCCCAGAATTACTGATGGAGATCTGTTTCTTAATTCCAGGAGGAAGATCGAGAGCAAGTGTGCAGGCACGCATGTGCGTGAGGAACTCAGGCACCCTTCCCAGAGAACGTGAGGAAGGTCTAGCTACACAAACACAGTATTTTGCACTGCCCTCTAACTAATGCCAAAACTAGTGGTGGTTAACGTGGCCTTTACCTAGTAGTGCTTGGCCTACTTGACCCGCTTATTTGAAGGATGTTTTCGTATGCCCGCCACAATCCTGCACTTTTGTGTTGCCTTGAATAAAATTACCTCTAATTCTCTGTCAGTTGCATAATGTGGACTTGGGCCCGAGGGTAGAGTTTAAGAACATCATGCCATTTAGAAAATTACAAACATCTCAATTACGGGAGCCTCTGCCAGCCACGTGGTGAGTTGAACAATGTAATGGGTATTTTGTAATTCTCTAAAATGATGTTATAAAATTGCCATGATCAAATTAGGGACTACAGAAAGCGAGCCCGTTCCCAGGACACGCTACGATCCAATCACTGCTTTCCTCTGAATGAACGGGGACCGAGCCAAGCAGGACTTTCACGAGATGAACTGGAGCGGGTTTGTGACTCAGTGGGGCTAACTTTAAACCTTTCAGATTCTATAATGAAACATCAGCTCAGGGTGAGCTCTAAGAAGACACGCTGTCTCACACAGTCACTGGCGGTTCTGATAAGGAAGCAAATGGAATAGAAAGAGGGCCCCTTGTTCGCTGCTCTCGAAACCCCAAGTCCAAGAGCAAGTGTTCACATGGAAATGTGCTCTGGAGAGTTTAAACAAGAGCATTCTTACACAGAAAAGTGTTTTCTACATGGGCATTTAAAAGGGTTTCCAGTTGGGCCAGCGTGGCTCAGGGGTTGAGGTCACTGGTTTGATTCCTGGTCAGGGCACCGGCCAGGGTTGCAGGCTCCATCCCCAGTGTGGGGTGTGCAGGAGGCAGCCGATCCATGATTCTCTCTCCTCACTGATGTTTCTACCTCTCTCTCCCTCTCCCTTCCTCTTCGAAATCAATAAAAAATATATTTGATTTAAAAGTCAGCATCGTCCTAGCTGGTGTGGCTCAGTTGATAGAGCGTCGGCCTGCGGACTAAAGGGTCCCAGGTTTGATTCTGGTCAAGGACACATGTCTGGGTTGTGGGCTTGATCCCCAGTGTGGGGCGTGCAGGAAGCAGCCAATCCATGATTCTCTCTATCATTGATGTTTCTACCTCTCTCTCCCTCTCCCTTCCTCTCTGAAATCAATAAAATATATTAAAAGTATATATTTAAAAGTCAGTATGACATAGTCAGGCTTTTCCTTCTGTCGTTCCTGGCAGGGACCAGCATGCATCGTCGCCCGTCTGTCACCATAATCGCTCACAGCCTGAAACTCGCCATCTCCACTGCCTGTGGGCACTCCTGAAGCCCCGACCCGAAAGAGAACTGCACTGCTTGCTTGGATGGTCATATGAGAACTCGCAGAGGCCCTCCTGGTGAAGTGTCCCCTCTCTGGCTTCTGGGGAATGAGCTGATCGCTGCTGCTCCACCCAGCAGAGCGGCCTGGTGGGAAGGGTAGGCTCAGCGTCCCTCTGCGGCCAGGGCGCGCTCACAGCGCATGCCCTGTGTGGAATTGGGTTTTGTGAACATTGCTATGACCCTGTCCCCACAGAGCAAATGGCGGCCAGGGAGTTCACTAGGCAGCAAACCTCCTAAGCAACAAACCCCACTGCCATCCACTTCCACACTGCATCGCGCTAAAGGGCCTCACGCACGTGTGGGGCATGCAGCCTGCTTCCGCGGGCTCTGAGGCTTAGGCATGCTTTGCAAACACAAGACATCAGCACCTGAGAGCAATGGAGCATGAATCCTGAACACAGAGCATTGATCCTGAGTTCAGCTCCCAGGTTGGCAGCTGGGCGACCCTGGCCAAGTGACTGCCCCTCTCTGTGCCTCAGCTCCTCGCCCGGGAAGTGGAGAGTAGCGGTGCCCACCTCACAGGGTGGCTGTGGGACTGAAGCAGCGAATCCATGTCCCATGCTTGGCCCCGCGCTTGGCCCTCAGGGATGGACGTGTCTGCTGCTCCCCGCTGGGCACAGAGGAAAGCCCGCCCCACTCACCTCAGGGATCCCCGAGCCGCAGGCGTAGGGCGCGAACACACGCACCAGGGAGACGGCCAGGAAGGCGAAGAGCAGAGCCCACAGCACGTAGAGCAGGTAGTTGAGGATGTAGGCGCTGGCACCCTGAACAAGACACAACACAGGAAGGACGGCTGAGCCCCCATTCCCGACGGCCCCCCTCCGCTGGGCCGGCAGCAGCGGGGCCTGTGTCAGCGAAAAGGCAGCTGCTTGGACGGGCGGCTGCTACAGCTACTGGAACCCACAGACACTGCCAGGCTTCTCTGCGAGCCATTTCCACAGACCTGCAGCCCGGCTGGCCTGCTCAGTGGTTAGCGTCGCCCCAGGCACCGAAAGGTCACCGGTTTGATTCCCCATCAGGACACATGCCCAGTTGGGGGCTCCATCCCCAGTGGGGCGTGCAGGAGGCAGCTGATGGATGTCTCTCTCATACATCAATCTCTCTCTCCCTCCCTCCCCTCCCTAAAAACATCTTTGGAAGCCATTATAAAACATACATGTCTTGTGCACATGAAGCAGGGGGAGGGTTTCCAACTGCCATTTGCACAGGAGCCAAAACTACCAGGTCACGCCATACGGGGCCCGGATGGTGATCAGACACGCACGCTGCAACCACAGGCGGTCCCCCCGGCCAGGCCCGGCCCGAACCCACCTCGGAGCGGTTCACCAGCAGCTCCGACCACTTCTGCCACAGCGGGCACTTGTCCCGGTCCTCAAACGTGGTCTCGGAGGATGTCCAGCAGCACTGCTCGTGGCTGTACCAGAAGGCGGACAGGCAGATGCCCTCCTTCAAGTCGGTCATCCAGTCCACGGCCAGGTCGATGACGCCGGCCAAGGTGCCTGCAGGGACAGCGGGGCTCTTGGAGGAAGCGACAGGAGCATCCCCGCCCCCCCCCCGCCCACACGCACAGGGAGCCCTGAGCACTGGGGGGGGGGGGGGGGGAGGCAGCCAGCTCGGCCCTAGGAGACCCGGGCGGGTTTGTGTCCTCAGGCGGACAGAGGCCCGTCTTCCCCCAGCCTGAGCCCATCCCGCCCGGGTTCCAGAAACGGGTGCGCCCCCTTCACAGGGCTCCCCCACAGGGGCCTGGGGGGGGATGGGGAGGGGAGCGCTGGGTCACACATTCCTGTTTCCCAGAGGAGCGTGCCAGTGCCAATGGGGCAGGATGACAACTACCTGGCTGTTTAAGGCCTGGCCACACATGGGAACCCGACTTGGACAATCTCACTTCCTAGAACTTGCTGGATTTTGAAGCTATTGTGGAAGGGATCCAATTAATAATTTAAATTGTTGTGGATCTGTGTAAGTAAGTGACTGCTTCAGAGGCCGGCAGAAGGGGGTAATGAGTGTGCCAGGCCAGTCTTCTCTGCAGGCAGGGACATCAGGCTACCACATTTTCCCAACCTTCACCGGCTCCTTATTATCCTGTCCCTGCCCCAGCCATACCAACACCGGGGCACCCACACGCCTGCGAGGGCTCACCCCTCCCTGCCTTCCCGTTACACGGAAGCCCCATTGTTTGAGAGAACACCTGAACCCCCAACAGGCGGCACACCCCAGCAGCTGCCCCTCACCCACTCCAGCCTCATCGCTTCCCACCTCCAGCCCCCACCCCTGCCCACTCCCTCTCGTGGCCCCACCAGGCTCTGCTCTCTGCACCCTCTCAGGGAGCACTGCCCTCCCCGCCCGGCTATCTCCTCTTTCTCTTCCAGATCCTGGCACTTCCATCACCTCCTGCAGGCAGCCTTCCCTGATTTCCTAAATTTGGGCTCAGCATGCTTTCCAGGCATGTACCCATCAGCATACCTGTCACATCCTGATACCATGATCTGCTGGCATGGCATCTATATAACACATATGTTATCCCGAGTATACCTGTAGAGCACGTCACAGCGGTGGAAAGGCTTTGGAAAATAGTCTGAAGCTGCTCACCAGGTAAAACAGTTACCATCCTTGCAAGCAATTCCATACCCCGAACACCTCGCGCTGAGTAAAAGGAGGTGATCACAGCACTCTACATGTGTGATGCCATTTCCATGTAATGTCCAGAACGGGCAGAGAGGGGCAGGGGACAGGAGGAGGCTGTGGGCCCTGGAGCTTGGCAGCTAAAGGACCTGGCGGATCTCCGGGTGCCAATGAAAAGGTTCTAAAACTGTGGCGATGGCTGCCCACCTCCGTGAGAATGCTGAAAACCACCGAATGACATGCTTTCACTGGGTAGATTGTATGTTTCTATGTAAATTACACAATGAGGCTGCCACATGTGTACATTTACACACACACATGCATACAGCGGGTGGGGGTGATGCAGCTCAGAGAGGGAGAAGTGGACTTTTAGAAGGTGGTCAGAGAACAAACACCTCAAGCAAAAGATGTTTGAACAAAGACCTAAAGAAGGTGAGTGTATTAACAAAAAAAAAAAAAAGGACGGTGAGGCAGGGGCCCTGCAGATAGCCAGGGGGCAGACCCAATGATCACCCCAAACCCACCCCCATTCACTGGGCCATAATCACAATATCCCACACCCAGTCTCCCCGGCTGGCTGCTTCCAGCAGTGCTGGCAGGTTCAGCTTTCTTTCATGAACGGAGTATCTGTGACACCCGGTGGTGATTCATAGTAATTGATTCCCCATAAAGGGCTTGTTAATGTTTTCTTCCGTGGAGCAACAGTGACACCTGGTGGTGATTCATAGTAAATGTTTTGTGCATATTTCGTTCCGTGGAGCAACAGTGACACCCGGTGGTGATTCATAGTAAATGCAGCGTTGACGTTTTCTTAATATTTCTATTTGTTATTCAACAGCGACATCTAGTGATGAATCCTTATAACTGCACTGCAGAGGAGCCCCTGGATCTCTCCATCTCAGGAGTCAGAATGTAATGTTCTGGATGCCACTAAGGAGATGACTGGCCCACCAGCTGGACAACAGGAAGTGAATGGGCACAGTTGGCTGGCTTTCCTTCCAAGGTACATCCAGATCAAAAGCACCTCGGCCCTGGCAGCAGCATCTCTCTCTTACCTTCCTCCTACATTCACTCGCTGATGTGTCCAGGGGCTCGCCCTTCTCCTGAGGCTCTCACCTGGCTGCACGTTAGCGTCACAGGAGGGGCCGGAGGAAGTGGAGGGGGTCGACGCTAGGGCATCATCTCCAAATACACTATTTGATTGAAGCCCAAGCAGCAGGTTTTTTGGTTGTTTTTTTTTAAATTCCCCAAATGATTCTCCTTAAAAGAACTGGCAGGCCGAAACCGGTTTGGCTCAGTGGTAGAGCGTCGGTCTGCGGACTGAAAGGTCCAGGTTCGATTCCGGTCAAGGGCATGTATTATACATTGGTTGCGGGCACATCCCCGGTAGGGGGTGTGCAAGAGGCGGCTGGTCGATGTTTCTCTCCCATCGACGTTTCTAGCTCTCTCTCTCTCTCCCTTCCTCTCTGTAAAAAATCAATAAAATATATATTTTTTTTAAAAAAAGAACTGGCAGAACTCGGATTGATAGTGAAGCCAACTGGTCAATATCAGGTTAAAGACAGCCCGATCCCAGCCTGACCAGGCTCTCAGATTAATCAACACATCTAAACTGCCTGTGTACTCCAAGATGCCAGAACATCTATTCTGCATTTCTTTTCTCTATCCATTTCTCCTTCCCAGGAGCCAAGGGTAATGACAGTGAATGACTTTCAAACTCGATTCTACACAGAGACATCAACATGCACAGCCGGCTCCCACCCGCCCACCTCCAAAGGCCTTCGCCACATATCCATAAGCCCAAGCTCACTGGGAATGCCAGTGGGACGGGACCGCCTCGGGAAATGGATGGACAGCTGCTGTGCTCCTGAGCACTCCGCTTGGCTCTCTGTGATGGGCCAAACCGGGGAGCCCCTCCCTCAGCTGTGTACGGAGCAAATGCAGAGGCACCCAGCACCGAAATCTTCAGGAATCCCAAACCTACATCCGTAGACAGCGCCTGGGAAGGCACGTGGGCATTTCTTTAATTATCGTCAGCTGAGCTCAGGGCGATGGGAGAGCCACGGCCTGGGAACATGCTTCCCCAAAAGGCTGGACATGTTATCAGCTTTGCTTCACATCAACCCAGGTGTGCGACTTAGCTATGTAAATCCAGCCAAGCACCAGGAATGCTCGGCCTGCTCAACAATGCAAATAAGCTCCTTTGACCCTAGGTTCTGGTGATACTTCCTGGTATTTGGGGATGTATACGGGGTCCCTGCCTCTCCATCAGGGCTGGCAGCGGTTCCACCCGGCTCCCAGCTTTTTCCTTCAATCTCTGTGTCTTGTTTCTTTCTTTTATTTCTTAATCCCCAGCTCCTCCACTCAGGAACCGGACCTGTTCCTTTTCCGTGCTGGACTGGGGAAAGAGAGGAACACCTCTACATACATCTGCGCCCCTTAGTGCTCCGTCTCTCTCACGGCATCCGCTGTGGCCCGCCCGTATCACAGTCCTTGTCCGGCCAGTGCTCTAACCACAGCTCTATGTCATGATGGGCCAGGGGATTCTAAGGGGGTCGCTTCAGCACGCCCGGGCTCTTTACCCCAGACTGACCCTGCACAGCCTCCTGAAAGGGGGCAGCTGCAGGCAGCAGAGCCCTGGAGAGCTGCGCCCCGGATGTTGAGAGTGGGTTTCTCCTCCGCAGAGCGCCCTGCTCGCTCCGGGAACCTGCTGCTGGGGTTACCCAATGATGGGTGCAGAGGCCCTGAGGGTCTGAGCAGTGTGTGGGTGGGGGGTGGGGGGGTCTCCAGCTAGCTCCTGGGGTGTCTCCCTTTTTTTTTTTTGTTAGAGGTCAGTTTAATATATATTTGCTGACTTTAGAGAGAGAGGAAGGGTGAGGGAGAGAGAGAAAGATTGATGAGAGAGAGCATCATCAGATCGGCTGCCTCCTGGGGATGGAGCCCACATCCCGGGCGCAGGCCCTGACTGAGAATCGAACCATGATCTCTTGGTTCCTGGTTCAACGCTCAATCACTGGGCCACACCAGCTGGACACGTGTCACGCACTGGGGTGTTTGCAATTCACTCCAGGGCCTCCCGGGCTTAGCAAAGGCCAGCCTCACGTGGTGTTTTATTATCAGAGACCAAAACCTCTCCATACTGTTTTGCCTTCTTCAAAAGCACGCGGCACAGAATGTAGTGTGTTTCCATACGAGCCTGTGGCCACGCCTGCGCCCCAGTCTCAGCTCTGCAACGCCCCCCGGAGCCCCGCCCTCGGGCCTGGCCTCACTCTAAGATGGTCCCAGCATGAACCCCTCCCAAGGGGCACAAGAGAAACACCCCCTTTTAGAATGCCACCCCAGCAGCCACCCTGGGCCCGGCCGCCCCGCCCGGGCGCCATGCACGTACCCGCCAGCAGCCCGATAAGCAGCATGACCACCCATCCTGACCAGGCGTCCAGCAGGCCCTTGATGAACTCCCACACGGACTCCTTGCTCCTGCTGGTTATCTGGGGACGAGACACGGCGGTTCATGGGCACACGCTCCGGTCCCGCGTCCTCCCCGCAACCTCTCTCAGAAACCGAGTAACCACTCAGCTGGTTTCCCCCACACACACCCACAGCACTCCTCCGGCCACCTGCCACACCACGGAGTGGCCTTTCCACTCCAAAACTCCGCTTCAGCCCTCACCGGTGTGGCTCAGTGGATAGAGCGTCGGCCTGCGGACTGAAGGGTCCCAGGTTTGATTCCAGTCAAGGGCATGTATCTTGGTTGCGGGCACATCCCCAGTGGGGGGTGTGCAGGAGGCAGCTGATCGGTGTTTCTCATCGATGTTTCTAGCTCTCTATCCCTCTCCCTTCCTGTCTGTAAAAAATCAATAAAATATATATATATTTTTTAAATCCACTTCATTTAGCCTGGCCGGCCTGGCTCAGGGGTTGAGCATCAACCTAAGAACCAGGAGGTTACGGTTGGATTCCTGATCAGAGCACATGCCCAGGTGGCGGGTTCAATCCCCAGTGGGGGCATGCAGGGGCAGCTGATCCATGATTCCCTGTCATCATTGATGTTTCTCTCTCTCTCTCTCTCTCTCTCTCTCTCTCTCTCTCTCTCTCTCTCTCTCTCTCTCATTCCCTTCCTCTCTGAATAAAATAATTTTTTTGATCCACTTGATTAAACAAATTCACAGGTGCCATTTGAACCCTGATGATCTGCAAGCCATTCTGAAGGGAGACGTGGAGTCGGCGCCATTGCAGACCAGGAGGTGGCGCTCTGGCTGCCACGCTTCACCCTGCTCTGAAGCGCTGTCCCTGGGACTGAAGGCAGCCCGCACACAGTAGGTCCGCCTTGGCGGAGAGAGAGCTGGCTTGGGACCTCCTCTCATTGGGACCCCCTTGGCTGGTTCCCCTCCTTCACTTCTCCCCGCTGCTTCTAAGTGTCCGGCACTGCCCCCCTCTCCCCCCGCAGTCCCCACTGAATGGCCTGCCTGGGTCCTGGCGCCTCCTGCCTCCTCCCTCTACAGAGCCAGGCTGCCTGCCCCCCTCCCTCCAAAGCACCTGACATTTCTCTTAATGTACACTGAATGGCCAGATAATGGTGATCTCTGAACACATAATAACCTGGCCACTCAGTGTGTGTGCGTGTGCGTGTGTGTGTGATATATATATATAGATTATATATATATATATATATATATATATATATATATATATATATATATATATATTAGATGCCCTGTGCATGAATTCCTGCATGGATGGGGTCCGGCCAGCCTGGCCAGAGGGGGAACATGGGTGGTTGGCCAGCCTGCCTGCTGGTTGAACTCCTGGTTGAGGGGACAATTTGCATATTAGCCTTTTATTATATTGGAGGATATACACTGAGTGGTCAGATTATTATGTGTTCAGAGATCATAATCTGGCCACTCAGTGTATTTTATTTATTATTTTTTTAATATATTTTATTGATTTCTTACAGAGAAGAAAGGAGAGAGATAGTCAGAAACATCAATGAGAGAGAAATATCGATCAGTTTCCTCCTGCACACCCCCCACTGGGGATGTGCCCGCAACCAAAGTACATGCCCTTTACTGGAATTGAACCTAGGACCTTTCAGTCGGCAGGCTGATGCTCTATCCATTGAGCCAAACTGGTTACGGCCACTCAGTGTATTTTATTGATTTCAGAGAGGAAAGGAGAGGGAGAGAGAAACATCAGCGATGAGAGAGAAGCATGTCCCACACTGGGGATCAAACTTGCAGCCAGGTCATGTGCCCTGACCAGGAATCAAACCATGACCTCCTGGTTCATAGGTTGATGCTCAACCACTGAGCCACACGGGCCGGAAGAGCACCTGGTATTCTATGACCTATCCACAGCTCTAGCCCTCCCACAGCCTTCCCTTCCTTAGCGCCCTGCCCACCCGGGACATGTGGGCATGAGCCGGAGGAAGCCCCTCCCACATGTCTGTCAGGACGCCACCTACCTTCCTGTGCCTGTCGGTGTCCCGCGACTTCTCCCTCAGCCAGTCGATGGTGTGGAAATCCTCGTATGTCCCCACGTCGGGGAAGGGCTCATCGAGAAAGTCCATGAGGTTGCCGGAGCCGCTCATCGCTCCTGCACGTGACCATGCTACTCCCACCTGGAGAGAGAGCGCAGTTCACACGCCGGCAGGCGGCCCGCACACCCTGGCACCACCCGCTCCCACTATGTTCTTGTGGAAGAAAGACTCGCATTAGCATCTGCTGCGGTGATGTGTGTACACCGAGGGGCCAGAGGATGATGATCTCTGGACGCATAACAACCTGGCCATTCCGTGTATCTGTATCTCCAATGGGCACCAAAAGCATTCCAGACTTTTGCTGGAGATCAACCTCCTACTTGCCCTGAGCTTTCTATCAGCCGGTGCAAAGGGGAACACTGATCAGGTGCATGATTTATAATATCTTTGATATCCAATCAGTGAGGTGCTCAAGAGAAGTACACTGAGTGGCCAGATGATTGTGCATTCAGAGCTCATCATCACCTGGCCGCTCAGTGTGTATGCAGGCACACACAGTCTGTCTCGGTCAGCAGCAACTGCTGTAACAAACATACCCTGGACTGGGTGGCTTCTGAGAAATGCATGTTTGGCTCACAGTTCTGGAAACCAGGAGATCCACTCACAAGCTAAACACTGTCACCCAACCACTCATTGCTCCCTGGGGAGCTGAGGCGGGTCACTCGGGCAGTCAGCCTGTGTGACCGTCACCCTGGACATCCACGATGCACAGCGACGGGAGAGCGGAAGTGCTGGCGGCACTTGAACTAGCTGTGGGGGGGGGCGGTAACATGCAGAGGGCACTGCCCTCCGCACCAGGGCTGCCCTGGGGGCGGACAAGGAGACGGATAGGACCTCCTGCCACACGAGCCAGCTCTGGTCTTGATGTCTGTGCCCCCCTGAAAAAAAATTCACAGGCTGCACCCTCCCCCCATGTGAGGGAGTTAGGAAGCGGGCCTCTGGGAGGTGGTGAGGGCATGCGGCCCCACCATGGATGGGCTCCGTGTCCTTATGGGAGAGCCCCGTGTCCCTTCTGCCACGCGGGGCACAGCGAGGCCTGGGACTGGGAAGCGAGTCCCCACCCGACCAGCTGGCACCTTGACCTCAGACTGTGGGAAAGCAATGCCTGGTGTGTTTTTTTGTTTGTTTGTTTGTTTTTTGTTTTTAATATTTTTATTGATTTCAGAGAAGAAGGGAGAGGGAGAGAGAGATAGAAACACCAATGAGGAGAGAGAATCATGGATTGGCTGCCTCCTGCATGCTCCCTACTGGGGATGGAGCCCACAACCCAGGCGTGTGCCCTTGACCAGAATTGAACCCGGGACCCTTCAGTCCACAAGCCATAGCTCCATCCACTGAGCACACCAGCCAGGACCCTGCCAACTCTTTATGCCAGTCACTGCAATGCAGAAAAATCATAAAAAATAGTCCACTGATGGTGAGATGAAAACTTCAGATACCCCGTGTGGCAATCTCACACCCTCAAAAGCTATCCTAGGCCGGCTGGTGTGGGTCAGTGGTTGAACATCCACCTATGAACCAGGAGGTTCGATTTCGGGTCAGGGCACATGTCTGGGTTGTGGGCTCAATCCCCAGTAGGGGGCATGCAGGAGGCAGCCGATCCATGATTCTTTCTCCTCACTGATGTTTCTCTGCCTCTCTTTCTCTCTGAAATCAATGATAATATTTTTTAAATATATTTTATTGATTTTTTGCAGAGAGGAAAGGAGAGGGATAGAGAGTTAGAAACATCCATGAGAGAGACTCATCGATCAGCTGCCTCTTGCACACCCCCTACCGGGGATGTGCCCGCAACCCAGTTACATGCTCTTGACCGGAATCGAACCCAGGACCCTTCAGTTCTCAGGCTGATGCTCCATCCACTGAGCCAAACCGGTTTCGGCAATAAAAATATTTTTTTCTCTAAAAGCTACCCTAATATCTGTGACCAGGACTGCCTTTAACCCTCAGAAGTGGGAACGGAAACATGTGATTGGCAAGAGACCGTTAAATACATACAAAAAGCGAGCTGCAGGCAGTGGGGATCCGGCGTCACAGCCCAGGCCGCGGGCAGGCCTGCCAGCGGACATCCCTCCCCCTCAGACCGAAGGAAAGCAGACGGGGAAGTGGGGATTAGGCTGGCGCAAGCACAGGCCCAGGTCGGGTTATCTATAATCTCCCAGCCAGGCCTGTTCTTTGTAGAAGTGCAGTTTTAGTAAACAGAAGTTGTAAATCTAACGTGCCTGTTTCTGCTACATTCCAGAAACTGTTCTGACCTACGCGGCCGCCTGGGTCTGGGGGACAGTCTGGACTACCTGGTGGTTAGCATTGCAAGCATTTTTTCGCCAGAGGAATGCGCCCACAGAACCAGCACCCAGATCAAAGGCGGAAGGCGGCCAGCCCCCACAGGCTCGTCCTGGCCCCTTCCCGGTCCACCCCACCCCTCCACGGAGCCCCGACACTGAGCCTCGCACCCCGGCCTCAGTCCGGTTGCTTCTGAACTTCACAGAAACGGGGTGTTATGTTCCCCAGTTTTTGGTTCTACGTGATGCTGTAGCGTCTCTGCTCCTCTAACCGCCCACGGTGCCTGTGGAAGGGCCGGGTAACACATGTGGGAAGATTTGTGGGTCCGGCAGCTTCCGTCGCATAGAAGCAGCCAGAGACAGTACACAAACCAGGGGCTGGGGCTGGGTGTCATTTGCGCTTGATGTGCGGACCCTGAATCCGAATGTCATAGTATCTTCATTTGTCACAAGACATTCCCCTTCCAGTTGTCTTATGATCATTAAGAAATGTCAGAACCGCCCTGGCCAGGGTGGCTCATGCACTGAGAGATCACGGGTTCGATTCCCAGTCAGGGCGCATGCCCGGGTGCCGGCTCCATCCCGAGTGGGGGGCGTGCAGGAGGCAGCTGATGGATGGTCCACTCTCACACCAATGCAGGGGCCGGGGAACATCAAGCTCAGAGCCAGGCCTCGGTTAGATGGCAGCTAAAAGTCATAGCCCCGAAGCTGCATTCTTTCCAGACTCGCCAGAAGCTCCCACAAGTCACAAGCCGCCTGTACAGCGCCCCCTTCCTTGCCACCTGCGAGGCCCACACCAGGCACTGAGCTCAGGGGCTGACTTGGTGCCCTTGGTCTCAGAGGGGTGTCGTTGCACCACTTGGCCACCAGATGGCGCAGTGAAAGCAGCCCTGCCGCCTGGAGCAGCCTGGAGCCCAGAAACAGACAGGAGCGCACCTTTCTCCCTCTGCCCAGCATGGAGCCCGCAGCCACCCCAGAGCAGGCGGACAAGCTGGGCGCCTTCGGTGGCTTCTCCTCTCCTGCCCACCCTCTGGCTCAGGCCTCCCCCAAACGCGCTGGCAACGGGTGAGCCTTCAACACAGCATGCTGGCCAAGGCAGCTGCATCAGAACTCAGGGGGCATGGTGTCATCTACATGGGGTTACACAAATGACTTCCTGTGTGGGTGGCAGGACGGATGTCCCCATTACAATCCACGAAGCCACGCGTTTAGGTGTGACGCACTTCTTGGCGTGTTTGTGATGCTTTGCAATTTTAAGACACTTCAGAGAGCAGCCTGCCCGTCAGTAAAAGCAGCTGCAGAGGCCCCGTCCTCACGTGTGGCTCCTGCCCGAGGCATCCACTCTGCTGGTGCCAGTATCGCCCTGTTCTTCAGAGCACACGCTGTCCACATTCCTGATGCCCGGACATTCCAGGTGAGGGGGCTGTGCCAGAGAACGCCTCCGCTCACATGGGAAGAACTGTCCGAAATGTTCCCTGGCCCTGGCTGGTGTGGCTCAGTGGCTAGAGCCTTGGCCTGAGGACTGAATTGTCCTGGGTTTGAGTCTGGTCAGGGCACATGCCTGGGTTGCGGTCCCAATCCCCAGTAGGGGGCATGAAGGGGGCAGCCAATCAGTGACTCTCTCTCATCATTGATGTTTCTCTCTCCCTCTCCCTTCCTCTCTGAGCGCAATAAAAAGTATTAAACGTGTGTGCGTGTTTGGAGGCACACTGCCGCTGTTGCGTGCTGTTCGTTTCCAGCAGCGTGGGATTCTGTAAAAAGAGGCGCTGGTGGCTGCCCTAACTGGTGTTGCTCAGTGGATAGAGCATCGGCCTGCGGACTGAAGGGTTCCAGGTTCGATTCTGGTCAAGGACATGTACCTTGGTTGTGGGCACATCCCCAGTGGGGGACATGCAGGAGGCAGCTGATCGATGTTTCTAACTCTCTGTCCCTCTCCCTTCCTCTCTGTAAAAAAAAAAAAATCAATAAAATGTAAATTAAAAAAGAGAGAGAGAGGTGCTGGTGGCAGCGCACAGAGTGGCCCAGAACGGGCAAACTGGAAGGTGACATGAAGGTGACCCTGAGGCTGACAGTGGGCACAGGGTGGGCAGGTGCGGGGGCATCCCCAGCCCATTGACAGGTGAGCACGCGGCAGCTCCTGCCAGGCACTGCGTGCTCTGGGTGCCGTGGGACCCATGAGCATAGAGAGAATAAGGAAGGCTCTCCAGGACGGTGACCCGGCCGCCACCAGCAGGAGCCGGAGCTGGGGGGCAGGGACCAAAGAGAAACACCCCAGCCCCCCCACTCCCCCTCCCCGAGGCCATCCTGCCCCAGGGACAGCGCCAATGTCACAGGACAGGCGCACAATGGCATCGAGTGGGCGGGAGCCAGCGACGCTGCTCAGTACCCCAGAGCCCCCAGGACGGTGCCCCGTGGAGGATGACCGCGCCTCACATGTCACCCGTGGCGACCGGGAACTGAGCAAACGAGTAAGAGCGAGAGGAAGCGCCCAAGGCCCAGCCACCGGCTCTGTGTTCGCCTCCCGGTGAGGACATGAGAGGGAAGCTGGCGGGAAACTCTCTCAAGAAGTTTCTGTGAAATAAGCCTGACTTAGCCGAGTGACAACACTTACTACAGGCACCCTGTCCCGCACAGTCAGCCTGCTAGGCTACCCCCCCCCCAACGGCAGCAAGCAGCTTGAACCCCGGCACAGAACCAGCAGGCCGCGCCAGGCCACGCCAGGAGCAAGCTGTGAGGCCAGCGCCCAGGAAGATGGCCCGGAACAGTGAG